GTGTTACATAGTTGTGTGGAAGGGCCCTTCGATCTTGGTCCACAAACCTCAGAATTTGGGAATATCTTGAACTGGCAGTGTTCGGCCCAGCATCCAAGAGTGGCAATTTCAATATTTTGGGAAGAGCTATCATGGCTTTTTGGATAGTATCTTCAAACCTTGGTGCCCATTTGGTATGTTTTAGGTGTTCAGTGAAATGTGTGCCATTTTCCACCATCTTTTGATAGGGTATTTTAAATAATGTAGAGAGTCATCCACAAAGCTTTGAGGTGTGACATTTGAGAAGTCGGTTTTTCTACCTTATTTCAATAGTGAAGCAAATTATGGATGCAAGTATCAAGGAACGTATCAGGGCCCTTCCACACAGCCATATATAACCCAGAATATCAAGGCAGAAAACTGAAAATGTGGGATTTTATTCAGCTGTGTGGAAGGGGCCTCAGGGCTGTTCTCACAGTCCTATATCAGAATATCAAGGCAGAATATCCCACAATATCTGCTTTGAACCCGGTTATCTGAGTCTACACTGTCAAAGCTGGGTTATCTGAGTCCACATTGTCAATTCAAAGCAGATAATGTGGGATTTTCTGCCTTGATATTCTGGAACATAGGGCTGTGTAGGAGGGCCCTCTGAGAGAGAAAGGGTCCTTCTACACACCCCTATATCCCAGAATATCTGCTTTGAACTGGGGGCCCTACCACACAGCCCTGTATCTCAGAATATTAAGGCAGAAATTCCACATTATCCGAGTGTGAACTGGGTTATCTGAGTCCACACATAGAAAATGTGGGATTTTCTGCCTTGATATTCTTGGATATAGGACTGTGTGGAAGGGCCCTGGGTTATCTGAGTCCACACTCAGATAATGTGGGATTTCTGCCTTGCTATTCTGGGATATAGGGCTGTGTGGAAGGGCCCCAATCACATGAATAATTGAGAACTGGGATAAGCTGATATTTTTCACTGTATGGCATGTAGAATTTGCCATGTAACCTTTTCTAAGTAGAGTATTTTTTCTATATTTTACTATTTGGACATGCATTATGCCACTGTTTACTGATTTTATGCAGCTTTGCTTGATTTTTTACATAATGGACAACACCCCTTAGCTGGGATGGGTTTAATCACTACAGAGATCTGGCCCCTATCCAAAATCAATGCAAAAACAACATAAAAACTAGCCCCACCCTTAGCTAAGAAATGCTGCTGCATTGCTGTCCTCAATGAATTGGAGACTTCCGGAGAAATGTGAGGTGGGCTATTGGTTGGGTAAAAGCTGTGCTACAGCCACTGATGCTGCTGTTCTGCCTTTGGTGTAATAAAAACACAAGGGAAATACAGGGCTGGACTACAGCAAATAATGCATGGATCTGCCTTGTAAGAAAATTCTTTAAAAAGAAAACAAAAGTCTTGAGCCAAATTGGTAACATTTACAGGTGTTGCAACACTCTTTTACATCAAAATTTCTAATCTACCCTGCCTATCCGCCTTCTTGTGTGGACTATTTCAGATGCAAGTGTGCCTCTAATTTTAACTTCAGAAAAGGGAATCTGCAAAGAGTTTTGAGGTTGTTTAAAAACCAATAGATCTAGGAGATTTTGTGGACTAAATTCCCCTCAGCTACATGTAGCTGTATGAATTAGGCTCCAGGCCATGGCAGGCTTCCCCAATCTGGGCTCCTTTTCACACCACAGAATTGTACACACTGTACCAGGATTATGTTTTAACTAATGCTCTTTGGAATCCTGGGATTTGTAGTTTAGGAAGAGGTTTAAATACCCTGAAGGCATCAGATCCCATCTGATCTTGGGGCCCTTCCACACAGCCATATCACCTAAATTGAATATCAAGGTATAAAATCCCACAATATCTGCTATGAACTGGGTTATCTGACTCCACACTGCCATATATCCCAGTTCAAAGCAGATAATGTGGGATTTCATTCAGATGTGTGGAAGGGGCCTTTGATGATAAGTTGGTTAGTACTTGGATGGGAGATTGCCACAAATACCAGGTGCTGCAGGCTATATTTATTGATATATTTATCCTTTAGCCCCGCCTCCATTTTTATAGCTGCACCCTCCTGGAGTTGGAGAGGAAGAAACTGACAAAACTCCCTTTTGAATATTTATTGCCTAAGAAAACCACAAGAAGTTCACTCTCAGCCAGAGTGTTCACCAAACTACAACTTCCTCAATGTGCAAAGGATATTGCTATGGCATGCCCTGATTTTTGGCGGCATTATAATGCTGAGTTGACACAACTCAAAGTACCAGGGCTCGGCGACATGGCATTTTTTTTTGTGTGCCAGGAGCGACTTGAGAAACTGCAAGTTGCTTCTGGTGTGAGAGAATTGGCTGTCTGCAAAGACATTGCACAGGGGATGCCTGGATGTTCTGATGTTTTACCATCCTTGTGGGAGGCTTCTCTCATGTCCCCACATGGGGAGCTGCAGCTGACAGAGGGAGCTCATCCACACTCTCCCCAGATTCGAACCTCCAACCTTTCAGGGGATTCATTGTATCCCCATAGCTTTAATCAGTACAGAGGTTTCCAATCTATGTCGTGACACATTAGTGTGTCGATGGGAGTGTGTAGGTGTGCCACATGTGCATAACGAGAATTGACAAAAATCTTGTAAAGGTATGTTGCTGCCTATTTTTTAAAAATATAAATGAAAGGTTTTCGTGAGATATGTTGTATCCCCATACCGTTTGGTATTACCGTTTATGTATGTGCCTGTGTCTCTTAGAAGGGGTTGGTTGAACCTCTAGTTTGCTACTCAAACTGAATTACAAAGTGGAGTCCACGGCATGCGAGTGTGGAGGAGATCAAACAACAGACTACCTACTACAATGCAGCCTGAGCCCTGCTATATGCACAATGGAGGACCTTCTTGCAGCAACACCAGTGGCCAGCTACTGGTCAAATGACATTTAATAGAATACCAAGTCTGCAAACTTTGCATTTTTTTAAAAAAAATACAACTGTTTGGTTTGTTATTGATACGAGAAATAAATAAATAAATAAATAAATAAATAAATAAATAAATAAATAAATACTGTGTTGTGAAATGATGCATGTCTAAAAAGTGTGTCCCCAACATGAAATGTTTGGAAAGCTCTGGCCCCGTTTCTTAAGGCTGGCTCTTCATCTCATGGTGCCAGAGTAGTCTGTTCAGAGCCTTCCAAGTCGCCCCGTCTTCTGTTTGTCTTTGAATATTTGTTCTATTGTTTTGGTTATCTTTTCCTCAGACTTTTTCTTTCTGTATATGGGCCCCTGGTGGTGCAGTGCATTAAACTGCTGAGCTGCAGAGCTTGCTGACCGAAAGATCGACAATTTGAATCTGGGGAGCAGGGTGAGCTCCCACTGTTAGTCCCAGCTTCTACCAACCTAGCATTTTGAAAACTTGCTGATTGAAATATTGGCGGTTTGAATCTGGGGAGCAGAGCGAGCTCCCGCTGTTAGCCCCAGGTTCTGGCAAGCTAGCAGTTTGAAAACATTCTGCCAACCTAGCAGTTTGAGAACTTGCTGACTGAAAGATTGGTGGTTCGAATCTGGGGAGCAGGGTGCGCTCCCACTGTTAGCCCCAGCTTCTGCCAACCTAGCAGTTTGAAAACTTGCTGACTGAAAGATTGGCAGTTTGAATCTGGGGAGCAGGGTGAGCTCCTGCTGTTAGCCCCAGCTTCTGCCAACCTAGCAGTTTGAAAACTTGCTGACCAAAAGATTGGCGGTTCGAATCTGGGGAGCAAGGTGACCTCCCGCTGTTAACCTCAGCTTCTGCCAACCTAGCAGTTTGAAAACTTGTTGACTGAAAGATTGGCAGTTTGAATCTGGGGAACAGGGTGAGCTCCTGCTGTTAGCCCCAGCTTCTGCCAACCTAGCAGTTTGAAAACTTGCTGACCGAAAGATTGGCGGTTCGAGTCTGGGGAGCAGGGTGAGCTCCCTCTGTTAGCCCCAGCTTCTGCCAACCTAGAAATTTGAAAACTTGCCGACCGAAAGATTGGGGGTTCAAATTTTGGGAGCAGGGTGAGCTCCTGCTGTTAGCCCCAGCTTCTGCCAACCTAGCAGTTTGAAAACTTACTGACCGAAAGATTGGCGGTTCGAATCTGGGGAGCAGGGTGAGCTCCTGCTGTTAGCCGCAGCTTCTGCTAACCTAGCAGTTTGAAAACTTGCTGACCGAAAGATTGGCAGTTTGAATCTGGGGAGCAGGGTGAGCTCCTGCTGCTGGCCCAGCTTCTGCCAACCTAGCAGTTTTAAAACTTGTTGACTGAAAGATTGGCAGTTTGAATCTGGGGAGTAGGGTGAGCTCCTGCTGTTAGCCCCAGCTTCTGCCAACCTAGCAGTTTGAAAACTTGCTGACCGAAAGATTGGCAGTTCAAATCTGGGGAGCAAGGTGAGCTCCCACTGTTAACCTCAGCTTCTGCCAACCTAGCAGTTTGAAAACTTGCTGACTGAAACATTGGCGGTTCGAATCTGGGGAGCACAGTGAGCTCCTACTGTTAGCCCCAGCTTCTGCCAACCTAGCAGTTTGAAAACATGCAAAATCTGAAACATGCAAAACATGAAAAATGTGAGTAGATCAATAGGTACCACCTTGGTGGGAAGGTAAATGCGGCCCATGCAGTCATGCCGGCCACATGACCTTGGCGGTGTCTACGGAGAATGCCGGCTCTTTGGCTTAGAAATTGAAATGAGCACCAGAGTAGGACATGACTAGACTTAATTTCAGGAGAAACCTTTACCTTACTATATATACTATATATATATATATATATATATAGTATATATTTGGAGTAGATGTATACTGTATTATGTGTTTATATTGCGTATTTTGGCTGATCCATAAAATCGTTTAGAGTTCTGAGTTTTCCCAGAAGGGAGTTAGTTACCTTTGGGCATTCCCATCACTTGTGTGGGAATACCATCCCTTATCCCCTCCCCCCCCCCCCCCCCCCCCCCCCACACACACACATACATGATGTCACTGTGTTGAGAAATGAGGCATGCTCCAAAAGGTTGGCATTTTTGGCAAGTGTTGGAGAGGCCCCTCAGAGGGGTCATCTTGGAGAAGCTGGCTGCAGCTTCCGCCTTTCCCCAAGCGAGGGGTGATCATCAGGAGGGCATGAGTTTGGGGAGCTTTTCCATTCCGGAAAAGGCCTTGTGAAGGGTGGGGTCGGGCAAGAGGCAGCGAGTTCAGCGGCTGCCAAGGCAGCTGGGAAAGCAGCATGCCTGGGGGTGGCCTCGGCTGACTCTCCTCCGCTCCAAGCCCCTCCTCGCTTCTTCTCCAGGAGGGAGAAGGCGCTGTTTGGGAAGCAAGAGGGCCCTTCCTTCTCGCCCACTCGGGAGCGTGGGGTTGGAGTGCCTTCTTGGGTGGAGATCGCGGAGAGGATCCGCTCCGGAAAGAGAGGAGAGCCAAACTGGAGAGTAAACTCCCTTGGAAAGGAAAAGGACAAGGAAAGGAAGCCCGGGGATGCCAACGCTCGCCTTTGGGGCTTCCTAGCTTTGCATCAAGGCAACGAGGGAAGCCCAACTCGATGCTCTTCTGAATCTCCACCTTCTTGGAGGCCAGCCCGAGCCATGGACAACGAGACCAGCCAGGGCTTCGAGTACTACGAGTAAGAGGGGTTGCCAATCTGGGTTGCTTTGTTTACCCGAGTTTTGTTTTCCTCGCCGCCCATTTTCCCTCGAATGATGGAGCTTGGCACCACTCAACGCCATGGAGTCGGGAAGAGTTGGAGTTGTATGTCCTTTGGCGGACTTTCTCTCCTGAATGCTTTGCTTGTTTCCCTGGGAAGAAGGAAGGGAAGCAGAAGGAAGGCAGCTGCCTCTTCCTCCTCCCTTCCTTTTCTCAGCCGAGCCCTCCTCTTAAGACCCGCTTTTGTGCAACAGGAGAAGAGAAGGGAAAGGAGGAAAGAGAGAAGAGTCGCCCAGTCACTTCCTGCGCTTCAATTGTGCATCTCCACAGGGCGGTGAATGCATTTGGTTGTCGGAGGCTTTCATGGCCGGAATCAATGGGTTGCTGGAAGTTTTCTGGGCAGTATGGCATTCTTCCAGCAGCATTCTCTCCTGACATTTCACCCACATCTATGGCAGGCATCCTCAGAGGTTGAGGGGTCTAGATTGTTGTGATTTTTCCGTCCTGCATGGCCATGTTCCAGAAGCATTCTCTCCTGACGTTTCGCTCACTTCTAGGGCAGGCATCCTCAGAGATTGAGGGGTCTGGGTTGCTGTAAGTTTTCTGGGCAGTATGGCCATGTTCCAGAAGCATTCTTTCCTGACGTTTCGCTCACATCTATGGCAGGCATCATTAGAAATTGAGGGGTCTGGGTTGTTGTGATTTTTCTGGCCTGTATGGCCATGTTCCAGAAGCATTTTCTCCTGATGTTTCACCTGCATCTATGGCAGGCATCATCAGAAATTGAGGGGTCTGGATTGCTGTGAGTTTTCTGGGCAGTATGGCCATGTTCCAGAAGCATTCTCTCCTGACGTTTTGCCCACATCTATGGCAGGCATCCTCAGAGGAGCCTGGGTTATTGTTAATTTTCCAGCTTGTATGGGCATGTTCCAGAAGGCCTCTCTCCTGATGTTTTGCCTGCATCTATGGCACGCATCCTCAGATATTGAGGGGTCTGGGTTGCTGTGTGTTTTCCAGGCTGTATGGCCACGTTCCAGAAGCATTCTCTCCTGACGTCTTGCCTGCATCTTAGAGGACCTCACAACGTCTAAGGATGCCTGCCATCGATGCAGGCGAAACGTCAGGAGAGAATGCTTTTGGAACATGGCCATACAGCCCGGAAAATTCACAACAACCCAGTGATTCCCGCCATGAAACCCTTTGACAATATGTTGAAGGGGTCTGTTGGAAACTAAGTTTCTTTATATATCTGTTGAATGTCCAGGGTGTGATAAAGAGCTCTTGTCTGCTTGAGGCAAGTGTGAATGTTGCCATTGGCCACCTTGATTAGAATTGAATGTCCTTGCAGCTTCAAAGCCTGGCTGTTTCCTGCCTGAGGGAATCCTTTGTTGGGAGGTGATTAGCTGGCCCAACCTGGACACAGCATATTATTTGAGAACACAGAAATGCTGGGCTACTCTAACAACCGCCATGTCAGGCTACACAGAGAAGGCACTGAAACCCACAATTTCAACAGAAAGGAGGAAACCATAAAAATGAACGAAATCTGGCTACCAGTTTAAAAAAACCCTTAAAATCAAAACAGTAAATAAAGAGCAAGACTAAAAAAGCAGGGGAATTCCAGACAAGAATCTTATCAGGGCCAGCTAACACCTTCCAACAAAAGATGTCCCCTCCCCCAGCAGCAACCAGCCAGGCTTTGAAACTGCAAGCCATTAAAATAGTAATCAAGATGGCAAATTGCAACATTCACACATACCTCAAATGGAAGTTTTTTCTCCCTCCCCGGACATTCCACAGGTATATAAACTCCACCTGCCTAGTTTCCAACAGACCTCTCAACCTCTGAGGATGCCTGCCATAGATGTGGGTGAAACATCAGGAGAGAATGCTTCTGGAACATGGCCTTACAGCCCAAAAACCACAGCAACCCAAGATGAATGCAGTTTGGCATTGATGTAGCTGCTCTGACTGTGGAATCAGAGGAGTTGGAGTTGGGAGTCTTGGGCCCCTTCCACACAGCAGAATAAAATCCTACATTATCTGCTTTGAAGTGATACAGATGGCAGTGTGGACTCAGATAAGCCATTTCAAAGCAGATGTTTTGGGATTTTCTGCCTTGATATTCTGGGTTATATGGCTGTGTGGAAGGGTCCTTACACAGCCCTGCCGAAGAGCGGTGCTGCCTCACCAAAGGACCACTCCTAATAGAATCCCATGGTGACACACAAAGGAATGCCAACTTGCATTAATTCTACTTACATGCACTTGGCATTGGAAATGCGGGGCTCAGCCAAAGGCTTTGCAAGGGGAAAAATAGGCCTGGAGTACAAGTTAGGAATAAGATCTGCTCTGTCGGTTTGTTTTTAAATTGAATTTGTATACAAAGTCAGAACAGGGACATTTTTAAAGTGTAACCCCCATGCATATCTTTTAGTTTTCGACTGCATAGGGAAGGGTGAACACACCTATGGTTGTTGTTTTGCTGTCTGTGCCCCTGTTCAGATGGTTTTGGCCCCTTCCACACATCCACATTTAACGGGATTATAGGCAGTGTGGACTAAGGGCCCTTCCAGACAGGCCCTATATCCCAGTATCTGATCCCAGGTTTTCTTTAAACTGGAATACGTTCCACCTCGTAATTTGAGATCTACTGGGGAGGGCCTGCTCTCGGTCCCACCAGTGTCGTAAACACATCTGGTGGGGACGAGGGACAGGGCCCTCTCAGTGGTGGCCCCCCGCTTGTGGAATTCGCTGCCCAGCGAAATTAGATCGGCGTCCCCCCTCCGTTTCTTTTAGGAAAAAACTCAAATTGTGGTTCTGGAGCCAGGCCTTTGGCTAGTGGGCATAGCAGCACCTTAGACACTGAACTTAGACCATAGGACTGTTACAACAATTGGAAACGGCTTTGTGATTGTGCTACTGTGTGATTATGTGATTTTAAGTAATATTACTGTTTTAATGTGTTATGTATTTGATTTTATATTGTTATTGATATTGTGGCATTGAATTATTGCCTGTGTTAGCCACCCTGAGTCTCCTTTCGGGGGTGAGAAGGGCAGGGTAGAAATGGTGTAAATAAATAAATATACGAGTCCGCACTGACAGATAATCTGGGATAAACAGAAAACTTGGGCTCAGATCCTGGAATATAGGGCCTGTCTGGAAGGGCCCTCAGATAACCCAGGGTCCTTCCACACAGCCATATTACCCAGAATATTAAAGCAGAAAATCCCACAATATCTGAGTCTACACGGCCATATGTCCCAGTTGAAAGCAGAAAATGTGGGATTTTATTCAGATGTGTGGAAAGGGGCCCAGTTCAAAGCAGATATTGTGGATTACCTACCTTGAAATTCTGAGTTATATGGCTATGTGGAAGGGTCCTTCACCTCACTTTCCACCCCGGTGAGAATTGCGTTTTGAACATTTCGGTTTGTTGTGGTTTGTGGAAACAAGGATTGGGGATAAAGCTTCAGTGGAGACACTTTTCCCCCCATGATAACTCTTTCAGGAGTGAATTTCTCTTCCGAGGGGTAGATTTCTCCGACTTCCTGTTGTCTCACCTCTGTTCTTAACTATGGGTGAATGTTTGTAACCCCAGGGACTGCCTGCATCTATCCCTTATTGGAAATGCACGGGGCTAGCAGTGTTCCCTACTACGGATTCTGCATATGCACAATGTTATCTTGGAGATGGGACCCAACTCCAAGCACACATTTTTTGATGTTTCCTGTACACACAGCCTTAAGATAATTTTATACCCAGTAGTTGAAATAATTTTAGGCATGGAACCAAGTTTGTGTGCACTGAGCCCTTGAACAGCCATGGTATCATTATCTCAGCCACCCATGTGGACACGTCTTGGAGTTCCAGATAAGGGATTTTTGGTCTATATCTGGTGATCAGCCAGGTTTCTTAGAAATGGAGTCCCAATCTATCATAGGCCATCCCTATCTATCAAAACCCATTTCTATAAAAGGGACTCCTCTGTTTCCTCTTTCAGTCACCCATGTGGACAATTTTGGATTTTGGAGTCTTTCAGATTCCAGATAAATTATACTCAATGCTCGTATTTATTCTGGAAGAAGTCTCCTGGAGTGCCATGAAAGCGTGAGGCTGCTCTTTGTTCCTTTTCTTTTTTTCATACAGAGATACAGCAACAGTTTGGGGAAAGCTGGTTAGGAAACTTCTGCTCTTTTAAACGACTTTTGTTTTGTTTCCTCTCCCTGGTCCTGCTTGGAAATTAGGCCCCTTCTACACAGCCATATAAAACCCAGTTTGTCTGCTTTGAATTATCACTGTAAACTCATATAATCCAGTTCAAAGAAAATCATGTGGATTATCTTCTTTAATAATCTGGATATTTTGGCAGCATGGAAAGGGGCCCAAAATGCTCTGCTCCAACTGGGCTACTCAGAGTGATACTCCATGAACTGGTGCTCATTCCTGAACTGTTGGCTGCTAGTCCCTAGTGAGATTCCAGGAAAGGAAGAGGCGGTTTTACTCAATAGATGCAAATATGTTATGGGCCCCAGGCACATTCTGTGGGGAAATCATTGCCAGTTGCTCATATCAGGTCTCTTGGGAAGTGTTCCACTTCAGAACGTCCCCAAATGATCTTTGGCCCCAGTTTTTGTTCTTGTACAAGATATTTTCACCTGGGTTAATTTTTGTCTCACATACTTGATCTTTTCACCCAAAATGTGTTGTCGATACAGCCTATTAAATTACCATGCTAAGGGAAGGATGCATGTCTCCATTGACAAAGACGTTGTTGTTGTTGTTGTTGGTAATAATAATAATAATAATAATAATAATAATAATAATGTTATGCCCTTGGTTTGCCAACATATCACAAAAAGGTAATTTTCATATTTCGTCAGCTCTAAATATGCTGTACGGCGCTCCATGTAGTCATGCTGGCCACATGACCTTGGAGGTGTCTATGGACAATGACGGTTCTTCAGCTTAGAAATG